GCAATGGACTGACAGAGATTCCGGAACAGATTTTTTTTTACTTAATGAGCTAAGCCAATAAAATCACATATATATTCTTTTTAACTAAATTGTCCTTTTCTTTTGGTTAGATGTTAAGTTAATATCTCGCCGCTCAATTTTGAATAGTTCACTTAGAAAGTTACTCAACTTTAAGTTGTTCACTTAGAACATAAGTGAATTCAAGATTTCTAGAAAATAGGTGCACCATTGCTTTAAAGATAAGATCTAAAAATTTATAATAACAATAACTAAGCGAGCAAAAAATAAAAAAAATACATTACCACAAAAAATATCATCAGTTTATAATTGTACTCGGCGAGACTTCATATTTTGAAAACGATCTATAATAACATCATTACTTAATATGCATACGGAACATCTTGCAAAATCAAAGACTTTAGGCAATTTTTTTCTCCTTGCATATTACTAGCTCCATCATTACCTTGTCCACAGAGTCTTGATAGGCATAGCGAGTGATCCAAAAGTAAGAGTAAATTACTTTTTGCAATGATCTTGCGGATGTATCACTATTCACTCACATGAACAATACCCAAAAAGCTTTCTATCAACTCTCCATTTTTATTAACATATCATAAAGCTAGTCATTTGCGTTTTATGTGAAATGTCCTTTGACTCATCAACTAGTATCCCAAAATAATCACCATCCAAGTCTTAGATGATAGCTTTAATTGTTTCTTTAGTACAAGCATTCAGAATATCTTTTTCAATTGTTGAACAAATCATCATATCATTTGGAGCATGTTGTAATATCACATTTTCCACATCCAGACGATTAACCCCATGATATTTCAAAAGTTCAAGAAAAAGACCTTTGTAATTGAAATCTTCACTCTCATCATGACCACAAAATGGTAATTCGTTTCTTAGGAAAAACTTTACCACATCGATTGAGGCATTTAAACAAATTCGATAATCACTTTTTATTTTTTTCACTTTGCTTGTGAAGAGAAGATTGAATTGACTGACGTTGATTCGCAAAATCAAGCATCCTTTTCAAACATTCGTTATGAATACTCTTTACCTCACAAACATGCAATCAAATTCTTTCCGAACCATGGTTCCAATTTCTAAAACCATCTTGTGTAAATGATTTCCCCGCATTGCCACGACTTTCAAATTCATTCTTGAAGAGATAACAACACAAACAAAATATAGCATCATCATTTATGCATTCCAACCAAGCAAAATTTGGAGCATTAAACCACTCAGGATTAAATTGGCGATTCCTAGTCCCAAATGTTGTTTTAGGATATACACGAAGTTTTGATTGATAAGGCTCCATCAAAATATAATGTCTCCTCATAACATCCCGAATATTGGAATCATATTCAAATATGAGTTTTCTTTCTTTGGGATCCCGTTTAAGAGATCCAACCCAAAGAATACAATCAACATTTGAAGAAGAAGGCGTAGTTGTCTCTCTTTGAGCTTCTGGAGCTACATGTGAACTAATAGATGCTCATACAAATTCAAATAACAATTCAATTTAGTCACAAATTTAACTAGCAAATTTAAAATAATAAAAGAGAACCGCATACCTTTCACAATAAAAAAAATAAAGAAATCACACCCTTGCAAGTCGAAATAAAATAGAGGAATCACAATCCTTGTAAATCTAACTAAAATAGATGAATCACACCCCTTTCACATTTAACAATAAGAAAATCACATATTCATAATAAAAAGAGGACTTATACCTCTTTTGCATTCGGAATCACATATTCATAATAAAGAAGAGGAATCACACCACTTGCACATTAAAAAAAGAAGAAGGAAATAACACTCCTTTCACATTAAAAATATAAGGGAATCACACCCTTCAAAATTAATAATATAATATAAACACACATTCCTTACAAGTTACATCCGCAAAATATGTAAGTTTGAGTTAACCAATTCATTAACTCTTGATGATTTCTATTATAAGTAATGACATTTTTTTTTAATGGAAATTCTAAAATTAAAGTCATATATATATATTTTTATTTTGTTAGTTTGTTATTAAAAAGAAAAATCATAAAAAAAAAAGAATTTTACCTTAAACTTTGACAATGATGATTTTTTTAGATTTTTTGTGTGGAAAATAAAAGACAAATTTGAAGAGAGAAGAAAAAATATTGTTGGAACTTGAAAAGTGGGTAGGAAGGAAACCTTTTGAAGTCTTTTGACTTTAGAGCTTTTAGAATTTTCATTTTTTTTTTTTGAAAACATGTTTTTAATTAATAAAAAAAAGATTGAAGCGAATTGTTCCTGGTAGGGGTGTTCGTGGTTCGATTTGGATCGGTTATTGGCTAAAATCAAAACTAAACCAATCTAGTCGGTTTTTAAAATTTCTAAAACCAAACCAAACGAAAAAAATAACCGTCGGTTTGGTTATTGTCGGTTTGGTTCAGTTTTTCTGATTTTTTTGGTTTGAAAGTAATAAATTTCTTGAGGACATATGTATCTCAATAGACATTAACACCTAGTATATGAACAATCCACATGAAAGCTATTGTCGGTTCAATTAAGCAATACTAGAGTTATTTTACACGAACAAAGTGATTCAACTAAGAGAAAATGTGACTATCTTATGTGAGGTAGGGTAGGTAAAGACTAAAGTAAAATTTTTTGATGGGCTTGGACCTAGGATTGTAATAGTTGGGCTAAAATTTAAGTGTTGAGCGTGAGAAAATAATAAAGTTAAAGACTTAAGTTAATTAAAATTTAACAAAATATTTATATTTTATTTATGAATAATATATAAATAATTATAAAATTTATATATATCTAATTTATCAGGTCGGTTTGGTTATTTTTTAGTAAAACCAAAATCAAATCAAATAGTATCAATTTTCAAAATTTAAAACCAAACCAAACCAAATATCGATTTTTCTAATAGGTTTGATTTGGATTGCGGTTCGATTTGGTTGTTTAACCATAACCATAAACAACCCTAGTTCCTGGCTGGGATCAAACTTGGGATCTTAGTGTTGAAATTCGGCCCTCAAACCAGTGAACCATCTAGCCACTTTGAGGGTGGGTTCCGCAAACTTATATTTAATATATTCTTTAATAATTATACAAGTAATATATCGAGTTTAGTCGGATGACCATGGATTTCGGTGATCCAGTTTTAATACATTAATCCGCCCCTACTTAGAAAGTCACTCAACTCTTGAGGTTTCACTTAGAAAGTCACTCAACTATTGATATTTCACTTAGAAAGTCACTCAATCAATTTAAATAATTTTTCATTGTACTGTTTGCTTTCTTTAATGTCTATCTACTATACTTTTAAGGGTCGTTTGATACAAAAATTAATATTGCAGGGACTAGTAGCGCATGTATTAGTAATGCATTGTTTATTTATATCAAGTGTTTGGTTCATTATTTCCACCTCATCTTGTGTTTAGATTAAAGCTCAATAAAAAGTTTTTTTTTTTCAATTATATCCTTAAATTATTATGTAATTGGGCCAACGTAGATAATTACCGAACAATTTTTTTTATGGAATTCTAACTAGCCAGGGGAAGAACAATTTTGTTTTCATGTTGGTTATTTTTTCACTTGAATTATTTGAGGACAAATAATTGTCATCTTAATAAACCGATCACTCACAAATTATCAATTTGAATTTAAAAAAGATAAATCATCTACTTTTAAAATCAAAAAGACAGTAAATAATAATAAAAATGAATAAACCACCTACATTTACACATAAAAATTGTAAGTTCTAGTTTTAATATATATATAATACATTTAATTAAGATCACAAACGTCATGTGATGATATATTTGCCTTTTGAGTTAGCAAATGTCAAATAACTCACATTCAAATATTGTATTGATTTGTGTTGGATTTATTTAGTAACAAATAACTTTCTCTAAATAATTTGTAAGCTAATTTATTTAAATAAATTTACTAGTACAAATATAAAACATAAAATCACGAAAATAAATAAAATAATTAAAATGTTTGAGGGATATTTTTGTCTTTACATAGACTTATCCCATGATATTAAATCCTATGTATTACTAATACCTCCAAATGAAAGGTTTTAGTAATACATCCTATAATATCATGTAGGGCGTATAACTAATTCACTAATCCATGAATTAGTTATACCTAGACCTAAGTTTCTACTAAATAATATTATAGATAATATATGAACTATTTCTCCTAATACTCCCGACCAAATAACCCCTTAAATCTTCTATATCATCAATTAATTTGACCACGTGTCTTGTCTATTTTTGCCCTCTACAATCTCCATCCATGTGTTGGTTCTTGGAAAACTGACAAGTTTAATTTCAGTTTGTACTGTTGCAAGATTCTCCATGATTTGTTTAAATGTAGTATAGATGACACTAATCATCCATGAATTATTGATGTTTGTTGCCACTTGCCAGCTACACACACAAAAAAGGGTACAACTCTCAGTTTGCTTATGTTTGCCCTTACATCACCTATTTGTCTATCAAACTCAATTTGGAACATATTGGTGTCTTATGTGATTACTTTAACATTTTTAGGTACATAATTTGGAATATCACTCAATATGGACTAAAGCGAGTGTGTAAATAATTGAATTCACTTTAATATAAATATTCTTTTTAATTTTACTTCAAATAGTAAGGTGCGGTGCTTTTGCTTCTTCCATCCCTGTCTTTAAATTTCTCACACGGAGTCCGGAGTTCACACTGGAGCTCTGATTAAATTCGGATCGCGCACTGCAGGGTCTGTTTGGAGGTGACGCTCCCAACAAATTTTTCTCCATATCTAAGGCTCGAACTCGAGACCTTTGATAAAGGGTGAAACAGTTGCACCGCTATATCACAACCCATGTTGGTCATGTTGGTCATCCCCGTCTTTCTTGAATAATAGACAAGCGTGGCCTCCAAGTAGCCAAAATAAAATAATAATATACAAACACAATTTTTTTTCCTTTTTCCCCAAGGCTTTCTTGCTGCCTAGTATTTTCATATATAAAAACACAAGCCATACTAAAACATAGGTAACACAACACACATATCAAAATGACAATTCTTAATCATCATCATGATGAGCAACCACATTTTGTGTTACTTCCTTTTATGGCACAAGGCCATACAATCCCTATAATAGACATAGCTCGTTTATTAGCACAAAGAGGTGTTATTGTCACAATACTTATGACACCTTTAAATGCCATAAGGTTCAATAATGTCATTGCCCGCGCAGTCGAAAAAGGACTCAATATTCATATAATTCACCTCGAGTTTCCAAGTTTAGAGGCAGGGTTACCACAAGATTGTGAAAATTGTGACATGATTTTATCAATAGACATGATAAATAAGTTCTTTAATGCTACTCAAATGCTTGAGACACAAGTGGAAGTGTTGTTGCAAGATTTGAAACCAAATTGTCTAATTTCTGATTTGTGTTTTCCTTGGACAACAAATGTTGCTAAGAGGATTGGCATACCTAGGATTGTTTTTCATGGGATGGGAAGTTTTTCTTTGTTGTGTTTGCATAATTTGAGAGATGGGAAGTTGTTGGAGAGTGTTGGTTCTGAGAATGAATACTTTTCAGTGCCTGGACTTCCAGACAAAGTTGAAGTGACAAAAGCTCAACTAAAAGCATTAGTGGATCCAAGCAATCCTGAATGGAGAGAACTTGGAGACCAAATGAAGGAGGGAGAGGCTCAAGCTTATGGAATTGTGGTGAATAGCTTTGAGGAGTTGGAACCTCAATATGTGCAAGGAGTGAAAAAGGCCAAAGGTAATGTTAAAGTCCATGACTATCTTATCTCAAAATTTAAAAGTTGTTACATCATATTATGTCTTAGTAAGCAAGGGCGGATCTAGGAAGGGGTAGGGTGTTCACTGAACCTTCTTGGTATATATATAGATTTTGAAACTTTGAACATGAGACTAGAGGCTGACTCAGTGATTAAGGGATTTTTAAAATGTACTTAACGTTCCAAGTTCAATTTCTTGACACTACATTTTTGTCTTTCGTACCCTCTGAATGAAAATTCTAGATCCACCACTATTAGTACGAATGAAAATATGTTATGCTTTCGAGTGGAAGTGTAATTCTTAAACAATTACCTCTAGAAGCTTGAATTGTTATAGTGAGCATATTTTTTATTAACTTAATTATATTATGTCTGAACAGGTAAGAAGGTTTGGACAATTGGTCCTGTTTCCTTATGCAACAAAGAGAAACAAGACAAAGTTGAAAGAGGAAACAAGGCTTCAATTGATGAACACCACTGCCTAAAATGGCTTGATTCTAAGGAACAAGATTCCGTGCTCTACGTTTGTCTTGGGAGTCTATCGCACTTGCCAACATCACAAATGATTGAACTTGCACTTGGTTTAGAGTCATCTAAACGACCCTTCGTATGGGTCATTAGACACATATCAAATGGATTTAGAAAATGGCTAAATGAAGAGAACTTTGAGGAAAGAGTTGCAAAACAAGGGATTTTAATCAATGGTTGGGCACCACAAGTACTAATACTATCTCATCCTTCGATAGGAGGATTCCTGACACACTGTGGATGGAACTCGATCTTAGAAGGGATATCGGTTGGTGTCCCAATGATCACTTGGCCATTATTTGCTGAACAATTTTGTAATGAGAAGCTCATTGTGAATGTACTCAAGACAGGAGTGAAGGGTGGTATGGAGAATCCAGTGATGTTTTTAGAGGATGAAAAAGTGTGTGCACAATTGAAGAAAGATGATATTAAGATGGTTATTGAAAGAGTAATGGGGGGAGAAGAGGAAGCAAAAATGAGAAGAGAAAGAGCTAAAAAGCTTGGAGAAATGGCAATAAGGGCTGTGGAAGGAGGTTCATCTCACTTTAATTTGACAAAACTAATAGAAGATGTCACACAACAAGCAAAAATTGGGGGTTTTAAGTCTAGCTAATGTTTCTTGATTAAGTAAGTAGGCAAATGTTGGAAAATCTATGTGAAATCTTATGTTGATTTACGAATATCTGATTATGATTTAGTGGTACAGTTAAATTTGTAAGAGGTCAAGAACACACGACTTTGTTCACACATTAGATCCTGTTACTAGCCATTGAATATTATGATATAAATAAATAAAGGAGAGAATCGTATGAAGCTTTCAACTTCAATATTGATGCCATGAATGTTTGTGTTCGAGGACGTTTGCCTTAGATAATGTCTTTAAAAATGAAGGGAAAAAAATATTTATAGGTTACAAGAATGAGGCACCAACTTATCAAAATAAGGTCCACTTGATACTTAAAATACTAGCACCAAATACCAATGAATGTTGGGCACGTGATTAATGGTGCTAGCCAATATTCCTCTGTCATGCTCAGGCTAATTTGTCTGATAATATCCACAATTCTCTACTTGTTCTGAGCTTAGACGATCAATATTCTTCCCCAAACTTAATTTCAAATTAAGATACTTTGGCAATTTTAGAACATAGTGTCTCCCATTGAAAGTGAACTCTTTGCTTTGATACAGAGAAAATACAACGCATTGGAATATGTTCGAGCAAAATGCATTTTAATATTAAAATAATAATATTAATTTGCATGAGGTACTGATGAAAGTAGACATTATTTTTTGGTGTTAACTTATGTAATAACTAAGACATGTTTCATCACTTGTTACCCCACTAAGACTTGAAAATTTTAACCTCTAGACATATTTTACAATATTATTCTCTCATTACTTTGCTATTTAATCTAAAAAAGAAATCCTACACCTATATTGTACATATTGTTCTTTCTGTTTGGGTATTTTCCCTGATTTCTTATTATAAATGGGTTTTTCTTTTCCGAAAATATAAAAGTCTTCATATTTGGATAGCCAAGGTTTAAGACTCTAGAAATAGATGTTTGTCCCTTCTAACATATCAACATTCACAATGTAGTCCTAGAGGCTTTGAGAATTTAGTCTAGGAGGAGAATTTGTGAGATAGTTTATCACTTGTATGAACCTCTTTATATTCCAGTGAATTGGGTGGGGTTATTTCTCTTTATGTTTTGTACTCTCTTTTATATAGTGAATTGATCGAATCACGTTAAATTTTTATGTCTTATGATATATTTCTCATTTGTCTTCTTACTCATGATCTTCCGAGATTTGCTTTACTAACTTCCACATGATACCTATATATTTCAGTCCGAACACTTTTTCTCCTTAAAGTCTTGATCATTTTCTTTCATATGCAAAAGTAGTTTGATGGATTCACGTCAAAAATATAATAGAGCCTCACAATCACTTATCTTTTGTTGAGTGATATTTATGATGCTTAACTTTCCATTTCAAAAAAATATCTTTGGAATACTTGTAAAATATAGCTTTTCAGAGTTGTTGGATCACCGTCCATCAATGTGACTCATGTACTCACCGTCCACATTTTTCTTTTCTTTTTTCTTTTTTTCAGTCCAATCAAATTAGAGCCATTCCTTTTATTATCTTGATTATAACAGTAAGTCCGATTCAAACAAAATTTTCTATTTCACTTCTATCATGATGTCAACTTTTACAAATATAATTTGACCCTACTTAGAGAAAATGTGTTTTTTTTATCTATTATTATTATTATTATTATTATTATTATTATTATTATTATTATTATTATTATTATTATTATTATTATTATTATTATTATTATTATTATTATTATTATTATTATTATTATTATTATTATTATTATTATTATTATTATTATTATTATTATTATTATTATTATTATTATTATTATTATTATTATTATTATTATTATTATTATTATTATTATTATTATTATTATTATTATTATTATTATTATTATTATTATTAACAAATTAAATACTCCATGACTCGATCAAGAATTAGATGGGATTTTATTTATATTAGATTGTTTTTGTCTTTTGGCAACTCAGTTGTTTTAAACTTACAAAACATATATACATATATATACTGTGTGAATTTTTTCTTATTCTTTTTATGCTAATCAGTTGTTAATTAACGTGACTGATAATATTAATTGGGTCAAACAAGACTTCGAAATTCATATAAAAAAGACCTTTTGAGTTTTGAATCATGTGATTTAAATGTCTATATTATATATTATTTTTTTAACTCGTGATATAACTGAGATTTTGAAATTTAAAATTTTAAACTTTAATTATATATTCGACCATGCATAAAAGCTTTAAGTTTTTAAAAAATATATTCACATGTTTAAAAATTATATTAAAAAAATACTATAAATCACAATAATTAACCATTTAAAAGAAATTCTTAAAAAAAAAAAAACTAATCAACTCTAAATTTATAACTTTGTCACATAATTAATTAGGACATAGAAGCTAAGCAAGAGTTTAAGTTACACATTGTTGTTAATAGTATAAAAAAATTACATTCTTAGGTAAATTAAAAGAATATCTACATTTTTTTTTTTTAAACGTGAGATTCTTAATTTTGAAAATAAGATGGATTATCTATTATATTAATAAAATTGACGGATAACTGACTATCACTAAATGTGAGACTAAGATCAGTACATATTGTATGATTCAAAATCACCCCATAGGACATAGTTGCAAGTTAGTGTCTTCTCTCCAACAACTATTTCAATCAATGTTAAGTCTAAATACGCTCGTAGTTGTGCTACTTATTAATTAAAAGACCGATCAAAAAAATAAGAAACGCAATATAACAACTGTAAATAAATATTACTTCCCTTCCCTTTTCGACTTTAGTTGACTTGTAAAACATTGTTGGAAGAGTCATCCCTGAATGAGCCCTGCAGTGCGCGATTTAGATTTAGTCGGGAGCTTTAATGTGGGCTCCAGACACTGACGCTGAATGGGAAATCAAAAAAAAAAACAAAAAAAACTAATCAAGCTAAGACTAGAAGGGACAAATTTACATGTGCTTCGTCTCCTTTCTTTGAGATCGAGGCTCCGCTCTATTTTACTAGGAAGGCACGATATTCATTAGTAAGCGTGGGGTGACTAATAATTTCAAATATCTCTGCTTTGCTATTATAGGTTATACTTGTCATTGATTTTTATCATCCAATTGAATTAGTTGATTCTTGAGTGTTTTCTTAACAACAATATTGCTGACAGAGTATATATAACTTGAACTCAATAAGACTAATGATGTGAAGTTGAAACGGTGGAAATACTATTTTTAAATTGTTATTTTCTTCAACCTTTTTTTTTTAGGCATAATACTTAATTGTGTCTTAACTTGACCTCGTTTCACATTTATGCCTTCCAACTTTGGGTGTGCACAAGTATGCACTTAAACTTGTATAAAGTTGAATAAGTAGACACATGAGTCCTACATGGCATACTACACGTAGAACATCATGTAGGATGTAAATTGTCACATAAGATGTAGCGTAGGAAATGTGTCTTCTTGTTCCACTTTATATAAATTTAAGTGTCTACTTGTACACAACAAAAAAATCAAAAAATATAAATATAAGTTGGGACCAAATTAAAAAACGTATTTACCTTAGCACGCTCTTCATTACCAACCTAAATGGCTGGCTAATATAATAGCAACGGAGCAAGTACTTTTTCCTTTTGGCTTTTAATTTGTACACACACATGTTTTCTAAGGGTTGGCCTGACTTTGACTAAAAGGGGAAATAAATTCAACATATCAACAAGAAAATAAATTTAGTACTAAGATATTTTTTAATGAAGCTTACATTCATCAACTATAAATTATATATAAATATAAGCTGTAATCCCCCATCTCAGCCTCTTAAATTTGCATTCTACTAAGTACTATAATTATTCCTTCTCTTCATTTATTTCTCCATACAAATTTAATTAAATTTTTGCTTCTTCTTCTTTCAATTAATTAGTTTACTTTACTTTACTTAATTAATACATTTGATTTGAAGAAACAATTAAGGCTATATATATATATATATATATATATATATATATATATATGGAATTCACTTTTCTTGATACTTGCTTGGATTTGAGTTTGAATTCTACAACATCTCTTGATGAACTACCAATTGTATGTCCAAACTTTTCAATATATCCATCTATGAATTTCTACACTACTATTTGCTCTAATTAATATCTTCCTTCACTTTTTTTGCTTTCAGAAACAACAAGAAGTAATTGGATTGGGAGGAGACATGCCATCAAATGATGAGGTTTGTAAATCTTCTTTTTAGTGTGCTCTTTAACATGGCATTAACTGACATTCATGTCCTTTAGCTTTGGGTGTACGAAAGTTGACACTTAAACTATTTAAAAGTTAAGCAAGTAGACACACATGTCTTATATATGTGGCATAACACACGTAGGATGCCACATAGGACATATGTGTCTACTTATTCAACTTTTGGACAGTTTAGGTGCCTACAAGCACACCTGCAGTTGGAAGACATATAATGTCACTCAATGTCAAGTTAAAGGACACATTTATGTATTATATCTTTTTTTATACCATCAAACTTATATAATTAATTAACTAACTAAATCTATTGATCTAAATGTGTGTGTTTAGGCTGCAAGTGATCATTTGGCAAAGGAAGTAAAGAGATTGAGTGGTGAAAACAAGAAGCTACGAGAAGTGCTGAGTGTTATGTATGACAACTATAATACTTTGAGAAAACAATACATAAACAATTGTAGTACTAGTGGAACCTCAAGAAAACGAAAAGCTGAAAAAATCACCTCTAGAGTAAATTCGGAACTAAGTGATGAAGACTCTTCGTGCAACAAATCCAGAGTACTAGTACATCATCACCACATTCAAAGATCTGACCATACAACTCTCGTAAGCTGAATTTGCATTATCACGTTACCTAAAAGATAACTGTCCATGTAATATGTCACTAGTTATCCCGAAAATAAAACAGATATCTCGTTAGGTACAATCAGTTAACTTACACCAATAGCAACAAAAAGATATAGTATATTAATCAAGTTAAATCCAATTCGAACTTAATTTACACATTCCCTTTAAAGTAATTTTTTTTTGTATATCATGTATATATGCTAATGTATATAAGACATAATGCAGCTAGTGAAGGATGGATACGAGTGGCGTAAATACGGTCAGAAAATAACGAGAGACAACCCGTATCCCAGAGCGTACTTCAAGTGTTCATTTGCTCCTACTTGCCCCGTTAAGAAAAAGGTAAGAACTCTAAATAAAACGTATCAAGTTTAGAGGGGTCTTTAGGTATTCAGATATGTCTTTCCTAATATGTATGTTGATCGCGTAGGTACAATTATATAAATGTTGTGTCTAATTATACTCCAAGAGTATAGTCAAAATAGTTGTTACAAGTTTTAACTTATAAGTACACATTTTTGTAGGTGCAAAGAAGTGTTGATGATAAGTCCATTATAGTAGCAACATATGAAGGAGAACATAACCATTCAAAAGTAGTACTAGAGGCTGGTGAGGGCTCTAGTACTACTACAATTGGTCATAGTCACAAGCAGCCAGAGTTTAACAAGTTGTTGATAGACCAAATGGCGTCATTCTTAACCAGAGATCCCAAATTTAAAGCTGCCCTTGCTGCTGCCCTTCGCGAAAAAACTACCCTTACACATAAATAGAGGGTAGTTACGTTGGCTACACAATTATTCAATATCAAGAAGGGTTGACTCGAGAGAAGACAATGTAACCAACTATTCGTACAATGTTAGAGTGGGTTTAAAGTCAAACATTAGTTGAGGAATGGACCGATGGTCTGCTTATATGGACTTGGACAATCTTCCCCTCATGAGCTAGCTTTTGGGGTTGAGTTAGGCTTACATGTCATATCAGATAAAAGCAAAGAGTATGTGTTTGGAAGGCTAAATTGGACTAGGAGGCTCAAGTGAGAATGGGATATATTAAATTGACTTATTTTCAAAGTGCAGCCAAATTTTGAATTCCCTTTTTGTATGCTATGAAATGCAAGTTCATGATGTGACAACATTTTTCTTAATATACATAGCCTTCATTTCTGCTTTCTTTTAAGTATTAAAATCATCAAGTGTCAATGGTATCCTTCTATTATTACAACTTAATTTGTACGTGAGTGCCTGAAGTTTTAATTCTTGTCCCAAATTGATGTTTATTACTTTATATATACTATTTTCAAGTAAAGATGCAAATATATACATGTTTTATATTGATTTTTTTTAGTTATTATTATTGATGAAGTGGGGTCTAAGCCACTAAGTTTAGTACTAATACAGAGTAGGCCAGAAACCATACTAGGTAACCTTATTAATCAACCATCATACAATGACCTCACTAATCCTTTGTTCTTGTCAACAAACTAATACATTTTACTTCCCGTTTAAAAAAAATGACTTAGTTTGACTTGATATAGAGTTTAAGAAAAGAAAGAAAATGTTTCAATCTTGTGATCCTAAATTAAAGTTATGTCAAATATACTATCAAAATATCATTTAATCTTGTGGTTATGTCATTTTTGTTAAGCAGACCAAAAAAAAAAGTAGGTCATTCTTTTTGAAACCGCAAGACTCTTGTTTTAAAAGCTTGGACACAATGCTTAAATAAGTCTCAGAGTGCTAAAAAAAGAAGAAGATCGATAACAAGACCAATGGAGTGCCTATTAAATGGACATGAATTAAAGAAAAAATAACAGTAGATATATTTCAAGCTTAAAACAAATTTCGAAGTAGCAATTACACAATAGTACTAGTGACTGAAACAAACAATTTCAAAATCCAACTACTTAACATTCTTAGCCGAAACTCATTAAATCCTGCAACATACATATGGTCATTGATAATCCAACGAACACCAATATCGACCCAAAATTACCATGAAATGTCACCGGAGCAGCAGATTTTTCGGAAGAATGCACCGCGGAGACGACGTCTGACCTAGGAGGAGGTGAAATAGAGTGAACAAGAACAGATACCTTCATGCCATTAGAGCATCCACCAATGCCACAAATGAAGTAGTACCTCTTGGACTTGTCCAGTAAAATGAAGTCTTTTCCACTACTCCAATTCCCTAGTGCACCTTCTATTGTGCAATTATTGTATCCTACTTTGTCCACTTGTAACACATTGTGTTGTGCCTTTTGATACCTAAATGCTGCCACCAAATGCATTTGTAAATCATCTCATTAGTGATAAAATAAGAAGCTTACCTCTAAATAAGAAAGTATGCCATTTTCTTGGATTGAGACAAATAGAGTAGTACTATTTTTTTAAATAAAAAAGGGAAAATGCTCAAATATGTCATCAAACTTTGAGAAAAGGTTTATCTATGTTATCCATTAAAACTTTGGTTCATTTATATCATTTATGTGTTTGAAAAAGGCTCATCCATGTCATTTGTTAACTGAAAACAATTTCGAAAAAATAATTTTTACACGTAGTCAATTAGTATAATTCGGCAATGTCATAATTAAATCATTTTTAAAGGTAAAAGGCTCAAATATGTCATCGAACTTTCAGAAAAAGCTCATCTATGTCATCCGTTAAAAGTTTGGCTAATATATGTCATTTTTTCAGTCAACAAATAATGACATGAATGAACCTTTTCTCAAACGCAAATGACATAGATAAGTCAAACTTTTAACAGATGACATAAATGCGTCTTTTCTCAAAGCTAAGTTTGATCGCAAATTTAAGTCTTTTCCCAAAAAAAACATACCATTACCTTCTAACTTGGGGAGTATTAAGTAGTGAGACGTTTAAGGAATAAAAAGGTAATTTAGACCAACAAAAATTATAAGCACACTATTAACGTATCTAGGAAAAATTATAAAAGACAGATAGTATGAACAGAACGTCGTACAGATGAAGTCACCAACGTAGAAGGTTTGGTTGTTGCTCCAAATGGTGTAGTTGATGCCGGGATTCCAACCTTTGTTAGCTCCGACAATGTGATCAGTGGCGGAGACGGTGGTGGCAATGGTGGCGGTGACGATGAGGATGAATACATGAAGAGCCATGGTAATTTATCAGAGCAACTCCTACTTTTAATATTCCACTACTTATTAACCTTAAAAATTAAGGCTAGATGGCAACCTTTATATAAAGGAATCCAAAGGTAAAAAGTTGGATAAACCATCATTATAGACTGTACATATTTATTAGGTAACAATTATCATTCACTTTTACATACACCTCCTATATATGGTGTACAATTTTTTTTCTTTCTTTTTACGTTAGCCAAAAGTTTTATGGTATAACGGTGGCTAACAAATTTCATAATGGAACATACTATTGTTAGTTAAATTCATTATTTTATGTCGTTGTTATTTGGTAGGTGAATAAGAAATAAGTTCTTTATATATTAAGTTTTGTATAACTTATATGATGTTTGGTAGGTAGATAGGAAATAAGTTATTCATATTAAAATTAATATGATGTTGGGTTGACAATTTAGAAATGCGCATAACTAAAACATGTGTAAGTTATGAGAGAATCTATGTATTAGTTTATGCATGATAGAAAGTGAAATAATTAATACATATATAACTAACACATAAATAACTAATTGATAACTGCATAAAATAATACATAAATTCATCCATAACTGATCTTTATATTACTAAATAAATGCATAACTCTAACCAACTAGCCAATTTGTTTGAGCAGACACAATTTTAGAGAAAAAAAGTCTAAATAGAGAGGATCCAAGATATTAATATTGAATTAAAAGAAATATGAATATTGTTGCACGCACTAACGATTTATTTGTTTTCAGAAAAGAATTTTATTAGTAGATGCAGAGTATGCATGGTTGAGTCCTACTCATTCACAATATTGGGCATCACTTATTGCAAGTATGTACGTACATTATTATTGTATAAAGTTCATTAACCATATGTAGTATATTACTTTATAAGTATGTACGTGCATCCACTGCTCATGATTGATGATAGCCATGTATACACCGTGAGTTTAAAGCAAAATCCATTTTAATACTGAAACGGAGTAGAGTAGTAAGTATTCATTCATCCTTAACTTGAGCTTGAATCTAATATTATAGCATGTCGTGAATGAAGCACACTAGATGGGCCTAAAGCACAATTTAGTGTAGATATCACGACCGTAACCCGAGCAATCATTTATGTGTGACAATCGCTAGCGCATCTAGAGCTAGAGAAGCCTAGTCTGATATGAGAAGTGCTAATTCAGTTCAGGTAGACTTCATTCAAAAATGCCACGGCCCCAAAGTAGGACTTTGTGATGCTAATTCGGATTACTCAGGGGACAGATATTAGACATCATGTGGAGAGACAACAACAAAATAAGATGAGAAAATCGAGTATGTAGCAGCACGCCTCATGTGTAAAGAAAACCACGCCTCAATCACCTTGCCTCCTAAAGTAAATGGTCTACTCTACTACTACTACTCAAAACTCACCAATTTTATTTTCATGATGACACTAAAAGTAGCAGACCAAATTAAATCTAATTAATCCTACCACTAGGCACGTAATCTTTATTAGTAACAATCCCTTCTCATTGTAGGAGAATTTTGTCACACACATATAATGATGTTTTGTCTACAAATAGACCTGTATCCAAGAATATGGGACAACTACAATTCCAGGATAGGGATGATCTAGTCTTTATAGGATGATTTAACTATTCACTAAAGAGTAAAGCTTATAAGAAAAACGAATTTAGTCCTACAAAACAATTCAATCAGATGAATCAGTTAGTAGATGTAAGAAGCCTATGTGCTAGTTAGATTTGACATGACCAAATTACAATCTCCATACCAAAAGAGTTCGTAGTTAATTGGAACAAAAGACACAACTCACTTCCCAGTACAAAAGTTATTGCAAAAACAGCATGATATCTTACTGTGTATTGGCGTTCTCCGCAGAGCAAACAATCAAAATCCACATTTAAGTATTTCAACTAATGGTTCTTCTCTCTACAACAGGGAAAATGCTACACTCATCAATTCCACTAAACTGAAAACATTTTTGTCCCGTGTACATTATTGGCCTATTTGAACCTATACAGAACAGATCTTCAGATATTATCTAAAACGCTACCTTTTTATCTATCAAAACTTCAAAAGCTTACAGCGACAGCATGACTCTTCCTGTGTAGGAGTTGATAAGTGTTGCCATTGGTTTCAGGCTTTTTTAGCTGCATTATCATTATAGTGAGATCCTACTATGGCATATCGTTAGATGTTACTGTGCTTCCGTTACACTCAGAATATTGATTAGAGGCCAGTGGTTGCTCCTTGATCACTGTGGAGATCGTGGAAGGTTTCTTGAATTGTACCAAGATCATGGTCATGTTGTCGCATCCTTCTCCACCCGTGGCTGGGGCCAAACATTTATCCATCACTGTCTCGCAAACAGTTGAGAGCCTTTTTTCCTGCACAAATAGTGACACCATTGATTTTTACAAACTGAAAAGAATGATTTTAACAGCGAACAAAATAATTAAAGACTCACATGTTTTAACTGTTTCCCGACAAAGTCCACGACTTCTTGGCTTGACATGCAATCCCTAATGCACAAGAAATACAGATATGAAATTCTAGTGTTATGATATAAGTAATAACAAAAAAAGGGGGTGCAAACAGGCCTCGAAAAGGTACTCACATCTAACGTAAACTGAAGACCTAAGTACAAGAAAATAACCATGTGGCAGAGAGTTTCTAACTACACTGAAAAGATGCAAGTTCCACCTTCCCTGGTTGACTCCATCATTTTTCCTCTTTTGGAATGGAAACAACCATTTAACTTCAAAAAGACCAATAAAAACCCATACCAATATTTTTCCTCATGGATCTTGTCAACCTACTAGCAAACAGTATGCAAATTCAAGTACTCTAAGCCCAGCAATCTAACAACTCTTGAAGAAACATAAGCTGGTATTCCCCTAAAAATCATCGAATGATGGTTTCAAATACAGTTGACCAAACTGGGAAGATAAAATTAAATGATACAATATTCTTACCATATGCCATCACAAGCTAGAACAAAGAAATCATCATCATTGCAAAGCTCAACCTGGTTTGAGAAAAATTCGAAAAAAAAATGTTAAATACACAAATCATATCCTCAGCTAGAAAGGAACACATAAATTCTCAATTCTGATCAGTTAACACAAAATATACTGTAGAAAATTTTCCTCCACACATTACATATTTATACAGATTCGTAAGCCATTGAATTTACTTACAGTGCAGATATCAGGATTAGCAGTCACTATTTGTTTTTCAGCAGGCAATGATTTGTTCTGTTTCAGCTCCATGTCTCCTGAAATTATCAAATTGATCAGACCGGGAATAACACAAGCGGAAAAAGGAAACACGCTATAGTATATTTGAGAAAATGCAATATTTTTCAATTACCGATTGCTCTTGACATGTTTAAAGTCCCGTTGACCCGTCCACACCGAACATATCCACCAGCATTTCTAATCCTTTCCTTTTCAGCTAGAAGGTCAGGCTTATGGTCCCTAGACATATCATATGCCTGCATAACATTTTTTGTGCTTAATACAACTGTGCCTACTTAGAAGAAAGACATGCATCATGTACAATGATGCAAAATCACTTTAACATTCCCAGACCACAACATTTTGATGAAAGAAAATTTTCCTCTTGGATACGAAGACACACCAAAGATCTGCAAATTGCTGGGAATTAAATATCTTGGGGCAGAAAAAGAGAATATGGAGTTCCTGCAAAACCTTGAGAATGAAGGGTTTCATGCAGAAAGTTTTCTTCTGCAAAAGATCCCTCCTCTCCACATCCAAAATTTGCAAGTGAGGTCAAGAATCTGGTATTCAGTCTAAAATTTGTGAGCAGGCCACCAAGGGGTCAGGGGAAGTTCTCACTTTCTTCTTCTCATAAATGAACCTTAAAATACTATCATGGAATGTTATGAGGGTTGAATGATTTCACAAACCTCATCAAAACTCTCCTACTCAAGCGGAAATTGATATATCTTTCCCTTCAAGAAACAAATTGAGGTTTGGTCTCCTAGTTGGCTGGGAAATTACTCTTTGGTAGATGGGCTGGTTATGTAACATTCAGCTCTGAGGGTATTATTATACTGTAGGATAGGGGAATCTCGAGGGGAAATATAGCTTTCAAAGGTCTTCACTCCATCTCCATTTCTCTGTCTAATTTGATAGACGACGTCTCTTGGAACCTGACAGGAGTTTATGCTCCACAAAAAGACTGGCCGGAATTTGCTATCGCTCGAGTTAGCGTCTGCCAGGGGCTTATTGGAGGGACCTTGGGTTATTGGGGAATTTTAACACTACAAGGTACCGAGTGAAAAAAAAGCACAGTTGTACTTATAGGCGGGGGATGATTGATTTCTCCATCATCATAAAAGGCTTGATTTGATTGTCTCCTCCTTTATTTGGGGAAAGTTATACTTGGACCAGAAACTTTTCTGGCACAGTGGTTTCAAAGATTGACAGATTTCTTTTCACTACCGAATGGAATGATCACTTCAGCACCATAACACAATCAGTTCCTCCCTGTGTTTTCTCGGATCATCCCCCACTTTTGCTTGAATGTGTCAGTGGTCAAGAAACTCATCCTATTTTAAGCTAGAAAATATGTGGCTATAATCAAATGGCTGATGGGGGTTTGGTGAAAGAGTTGTGGGCTTCTTTCAACACTCATGGCAGGCCGAATTTCATCTTTTCCAGGAAATTTGGGATGCTGAAATTCAAGCTCAAGGAGTGGTATCAGACCCCTTTGGTAATTTGGAGAGCAGGAAATCATTCATTCTCAACAAAATTTTGAAGCTTGATCAAGAGGCCGAAGGCTCATTTCAACTCCTATGGATGAGACTTTGATTGAAAGGGCGAACTTACAAATGGAATTGGTGGAAACCATCAAATCAGAACAGATCTCATGGCTATGGTAGAAACAAGGTGATAACGACACTGGTTTTTTCTCATAAATGATAAACATTCATCGAAGATACAATCAAATAGGTGGCTTGTAAATTGATGGCTTTCTTACAAATGACATGGAGGT